ACACAAATGTACAGCTATACAAAATGTAAGCAAAACACAGGTCTTGAGATTTGTTCACTTAAAATCACGCAAGTTTCTTATCAAACCAATTCTTATTTCTACAGGCACGAAATAGCAAGTTTTGATTCTGCATATTATTCTACCTGGCCAAAACCAAATAGTCCACTATGGACATGCATAAAATTTTTCCTCAATTGATAAAACTTAAGAGGCAAAAGATTTTCTTTCTGAATTTTTCATGCTAATGTTGGGACGCCTGAAGTTCTTGTGTACCAACTGGAGTAGCACTCTGACTCGAATTTGGTCTCTTTCCTTTGCTCGATGTCGATGTTGCCTACATATCAAAGCGAGCGTATGAGGAATTGTTGCAACAATCTGGCAGAATATGAATTATAATATTTTAAATTACCTTTATTTTCTTCGAACTCGACTCCAACGGGCTTTTACTTAGAAGTTTCTTTGGTGCACCCTTTCTTCTCGACACGAGAGGGTCCCGTACGCTCCCGCTCAAGGTATTCTGTGATACATTACATTGGGGGCCTAATTGTACCGTATGGTGTGCGAGGACATTAGTGCTTGTACTAGTCTGTGTCAACGTAAGAACTGTACACTGCGATTCTATCCAATCCATTATGGCGCGAGTCTGCCCGTCATCATCAGCAGCAAGATCTGCCAACCCAACAAAAGACTGACACATACTATCATATCTCAACTGACTAGGTGTACTAACCAACCCAGCGTAGTTCACAGCCACCCTCGCGTGTGCTCTACTAACATCTCTTCTCCATCGTCTCAGTATGTACCTCTCCGGTATTGATGTGATGCAATTACGGATCAACACCGATATCGCATGCCTACAAATTATACCCCTAAACTCGAACAAGTGACAGCTGCAAATGAATTGACAATTCTCCTTTTGAAATGACACAAAAAATGTTTTTTTCTTCATTCGCTCGCCGCATGCCACAACTTCGCAGACCTCGTACATTGTCCCAAAACCATTTTCTGAAGTAGATATGAGGTCATAATACATCTTCCCTATAAACTCCTCCTGAACCTCCTTGAATTTTGAGATGGTATAAACAGATTGAAATTGTTTCTCCATTTCAAACATACTTACGCATGATAGCATTTGTGAATATGATTTGAAATCAGCTTGAAATTCCTTTTCAACCTTATTCCTTAGTGCTCGCTCATATTGTTCTACAAACTGTTTCAATGAAGTCTTTGAGTGTACATATCCGTCAAAGAACGCATTCATACTCTCACTTCTTTGCGTTGTTGACATCCCTGCCCAAAAAGTGGTTTTCAGAAAGCAAGGAACCCAACGCTTTCTGTTCTCGTATAGTCCAGATAACCAATCATTTTCATGCAATCCAAACTTATTAATCATTGCGATCCAACCTTCTTCAAACTCTTCAACGAACTGGGAATCATACACCAATCCATGTATATCAGAAAATATAGAACCCTTATCAATATGGTACCCAAACTTCTCTGGCAACTTTTTCAAAATGTGCCATAAACACCACCTATGGTTTGTATTTGGAAAAACAATTTGAATTGCGTTTTGCATGGCTCTATCCTGATCAGTGATTATTCCGTGGGGAGCTACACTGTGCATGCACTGAAGCCATGACCTGAATAGCCACACAAAACTATTTGTGTCCTCGTTCGAAAGCAAACCACAACCAAGCAGTGTTGATTGTCCATGGTGATTGACGCCAACGAAAGGAGCAAAAGGCATATCATACTTATTTGTAAGATACGTTGTATCAAACGTGACCACATCGCCGAATTCCTTGTATGCCTGCCTACACCTATTATCTGCCCAAAATATGTTCCTCAACCGCGATTCATCATCCAAATCAATACTAAAATAAAACCCCGAGCAATGTGCTTGCATATTTGAAAAATATGCTTGTATTGCGGCGGCATCTCCTTCTCCGAGTCTCAACCGTCTCACTTGTTCGATGTAGTTTCGACAATCCTTTTCCACACAAGTCATATTTTCGTATCCGCCCGCCTCAACAACTGCAGAATTATAACTTTTGTGCAACGGAATTCCCGCCACATCGTTCACTTCAAGCCTCCGCTTAACCTGTGCACGCAGTTCTCTATTGCATCGAAACAACCTGGATTTCGATGGGCTTGTTCCATGATTGTGGTCGAGGTGGACTGCATTAATTCTCCAAGATCCATGATCATCTGAAGATGCGCTTATCCGGGCCTTACAATTGGTTTGAATTGTTGGTTGCGGCCTTACAGATCCGGTAGCAGTACTTGGCCTTCGACCTTCACGGCCACAAGTATATGTCACAAATCTCAAAACTCCACCGGCCCCTTTTTTTAATTTCC